TATGACGAAGGAATTGGAGATGAAACGATGGATATAAAGCTTTCATTTATTATCAAAAAATCTCTATAGATGGAAAATGCTAGTTGAACAAGCAGTGTTGGATATTGCTATCGAAATAGAATTGGAATTGAAAGGATGAACATAAGGTTTTCATTGATTATCAAAAATTTTCAGCAATAGGAAATGCTAGTAGAACAAACAGTGTTGGATATTGTTATCGAAATGGAATTGGAGTTGAAAGGGATGTGCACAAGGTTTTCATTTATTATTAAATATCTGCTGAAGTGAAGCGCACCCAAGGAACATTTAATGTTGGATGTTGTTATAGCGAAGGGATTGGAGATGAAAGGGTGAATATAATGCTTTCATTTGTTATCAAAAATCTCCAAAGATGGGAAACACTAGTGGAACAAACAGTATTGGATATTGTTATCGAAATAGAATTGGAGTTGAGAAGGATAAACATAAAACTTTCACTTATTATCAAAAATCTGCTGAGATGAAACACGCCGAGGGACATTTAAGACCGGAGTAAAATCGCCACCTCAAAAAGTTTTGAAAATCACTTGATATTGTCAATTCATCATGATTAGAATTTGGAACATGATAATGATATTTAGTAAAATATTAATTGATTTAGTAAGTGATTTTTTTCAATTCTTCAAAAATTAAATGAATCGGAATTACATAGGCGCCTCCCTTGTTATTAAACCCTCCATGAAGAATTCCTACTAAATGATTATTGTTATCAAAAACTGGAGAACCCGAATCTCCTGGTGCACCTATATTATAAATTAATAGTAAATAATATTAGTTGCAAAATATTATCAAATAAGGGGCATGCCAGATATTAGCTGAGATCAATTTAATATAAAGCTCTCACTCCTTTCCTCTTTCTCTTTCACCCAAGAAATTTAGTCATTCTGATTGGTATATGTATATATTTAGACCTGAAATTTTTCTATCTCCCCACCCTATGATATCAGCTGGTATCTGACCCTTCTCTAACTATTGACTTACCAAATGTTCCATTATTGCCAGATACATATAAAGCATAAATTTTTCTTGGAGGGTTGAAAACTGCAGATATAACCTCTGCCCATTCATCAACCATTTTCCCTTCGGTATAAAACGTACTCCTACCAACCTTTTTAACATCTATTACGTTATTTGGATCATTGCTTATAGATGTCTTGAAAGTAGAAACAGTTGCTCGAGTTTGGTATATGTTATTTGGAATTACGGGCACTCTATAATTATTGCTAATTCTGCAAAAAGCGTAATCAAGAAGGTGTCCATCTTCATCAGTACTCAAGGAACTATACTTTGTAACTGTGGCACAACCCTTAGAAGAGATCTTTGTCAAAAAAAGAGACATCAACAAAGTAAACCACAGAAAAGCCAAGCTTTCATTAAATACTTACATGATCTAATTTTCCCAGTTGGACTACTGGTGTGCCTTTCTTCCCAAGCCCATGTTTTGTAGTAAGAATAAAAACACCACCAGGTATCGTTTGTGTTTGAGCTAATATGCCTAACGTACATGCATTTGGTGGATTTTTTAAACGTCCAATGCTGATACCATGCATAAGTTTTTCATGATAATTTCGATGAAACGGTTCGACCAACCCGTAGTCAATAATCACAGGAAAATCCTCAAATACAGATGGCAAATCAAAGTGTAATGATGACCCTTTTGGTAAATTTAAATTAACAATGATAACTTCTCTCTCATCAACCATTCCAATGGTAACTCCGGATATTTCATCCCTTCTAAATTTCTTCTCGAAAGCATGCCGAGCAAGAAAAAGTTTTTTGATAACTGCTTCATCTTGAATTGAGTGAACTTTTCGATCGCCTAATCGTTCCAATTTATCCTCAAATTCTTTTTTTTCTTCTAAATTGACACAGTGAATTAGAAAACTAATTCAATATTCCATTTTTAAAAGTAGAATTCACGATTGCTAAATGTCACTGCATACAATATTAGATATGACACAAAGTGCCATTTATACATCTGGGCTAATTTTGTTTGTACCTAAAAATTTAAAGGTTACTGACCGATCAGTTGTGATTAGATTTTGATTTGAAAGATATCACATAGAGATCAGTATATATAGTAATAAAAAAAAATAATCGGTTGAAGGGTGTGGTAATTGGTTAGACTAAGTTTTAATATGTAATTTGTTAAATTTAGGGCCCTTTCTCGTGACGTGCACATCAATTGACTGTCTAATATCTAACAAAGAATTGTGGTTTTAATGGCCAAAAAAAGGTCCAATAAACAAAATCAGCCCAGATGATAAGCATATTATTTTAATTTTTTAATATGCATCGTATAGTGTTTCGATCCTATTTTTGACAGGCAATCCGGATTCTTTTTAATCTGGATTGAATCCGCATCAAATTATATATAAAGTCAGCTTTTGGGCACATCCTTAGATTCGTTATTTAAGTTCGTTAACCAATCCGAATAAAAATCTCTAATCTTAACATTTAAATTTATCTGAATTTAAGAACCAATTTAGATAGTCGGATTTAGGATCGAAACACTAGCATCATATCGAGTACTGTATGTAGTGGCAAGCATATATAAGAAGGTTTCATGTACCTTTTAAATCTTGGTGGA